AGAATGGATGTCCTTTTTTCCACACTCCTTATACCCTCCAACCTTGAGTACAAGCTCCTCTTTTTAAAAAAAAAAAGAAAATGCATATTTCTGCTTTTCCAAAAACTTGCTAGAGTTTCACTTCCTTGGTTCAGTTCAAATTAGCCTTTTAGCCAATGCAGAGTTCCTTTTTTCACAAAAAAAAAAAAAAAAAACAAAGTATCCCGGACCACAGCCAGCCTCTCTCCCGGTTGCTCACCTGCTGCACTTGGAAGATATTACAGGAACAACATCTCAGCACCTGAAACTGCTGAGCCATCAAAAGAAGGTTATTTAGTGCTTTCGCGGAAAAACAAAACAAGACCTTCCCCCCTTCAGGAACCACACAACCAGCCAGCCGATATTTCAAGGCAGTCTCTCCACTTCCCCCCACGGTCCTGCTTCACTCCTCCGCGCTAGGGCCTTTTAGGCGGGAAAACGCGCGATGCACCAGCCCCTCTTCCGCCTTGCACACACTGGCCCTTCGTATTGGTTAAACGCGCAGAGGGACTGTTTTGACGTGCACGAGCCCATTGGCTGAGAGCAACGGGGGTCTTCAAAGCAGCGATCAAATGCAACCGCTAGTGTGTCGGTTTCTGCTTTTCAGCGTCAGCGAGAGAGCAGGGTCCTTCCCGCGCGCGTCCTCAGTAAACGTGGAGCTTTCTCAAACTCGGATCTATTCGTTTGGAAAAAATGGTGACTGTCAGCGTCGAGATGTTTAACAACCGTCCGGCAAACATTTCTGTAGTGAAGAATGTAATAAATTGTGGAATGTGATTACTCCCCGAAGGACGAATTGAAAGATGTGCCCGTATTGGGAAGGGTAAAAAACACGTCAAGAAGAGCTTGCGATACCTCTGCAAGACTGTCTGTTGCTCTTTTACTTGTACCGTGCTGCAAATCGGTAGATGCCGCTATTGAGAGAGAACGGCTTGGGCAGCCAGGTAAGAGATCGTGTGGTCCTAAGATTATTATCTCAGATATAATGTATAACTATGAAATAATGCTGTTCACACTGTTGGAATGAGGATTTGGGATGAGACCAGAGTCACTCAGCAACCTTATTCCAATCACTTGCATGCAAAAATGAGTCACAGCAGGAGATGGCTGTGAAGGTCCTAAAGGGAGCTAGATACCAGGGGAAATCTTCCAAAGTAGCAGCAGCCCAGCTCTGTTAATCTTGTGAAGTATGAACAAAAAGGCTCTTGAGATATCTTAAAACGCTGATTGGTACATAGATTTCCATCAGGAGGCTAGAATGGGAAGTTGAAAAAAGAAGAGAAGTGGTGCAGGGGCAAATTACCGTTGTATTTTCCCAGGAAAATTAGATGAAATGTAGCTGCTGGAAGTCAAATCAGCTCAGGGGAGTCTTTATTTTTTTATTCTGGCTTTCACAGACAGGAGGCTATTGTATGGCATTAAAGCTGGTAAGAGCCATCTTCCATTCAAAAGTTTAAACAAAATAAGTTTGGTAATTTACAATCTATAGGAGCTGATAATTTCCTGATTTCACTTAAGACTTGAGTAGAGTCTAACCTATTGATAAATTCAAGTCTGGTGATTTCATTCTGGAGCCTCTCTTTAATGTTTTTTTTCCAGGTGTGCAGCAGTGTCCTCAGCTGAGCTGTCATTCTCAAATAGATAATGAAAGAGGGAATTGTTGGTAAATCACTGTAGGTGTTACACTGGAAGAATGAATAAATGAAGAGATGATATGGGTGATGTTGCTTAAACAGATATAGCATTGAGTTGGTATCTGGGTTATTGAAGATGAGTAGCTATCAAGGGCTCATACAAGTAATATCAAGCAGAACTGCCCAAAAAATATGTAAGAAAAAGATAATTAGCCACATGAGGTAGAATAATGATTAGGACTAAAGAGCAATTATTCTGGACTGCCACTTTTTGTTCTGTAGCATGCTATACTGTGTGTCAGTTTGATCTTTTCAGTCTGTTTCTTCAGTTTGGTATTACAGTCTTTAAAATACCAGCTATAAACATTCTAAAAAATAGGGATCTTGAAAGAGGTAATTCCCATGAAGATCACCTTTGCATCTTATTAATGTGCTACCGAGTGGACAGAATGACTCCCACATCACTCCCTGAAGTCATAAGGCTTTTGGTATTTATATAGCATCTGCTTTCAGAAAGGGTTGGTTCAGAAGCTGGTAAGTTATTTTTTATATTTAATTATGCAGTTTATCTATTCCTTCAGTCCAAGTGAACTCTAGAGATACTAATACTAAAATAAATAAAAGTGATATTGAATCATTAAGACTAATATTGATGGCTGTGACTCCAGAGCCAACTCTCCTGGTTTTGCCAGCTTCTGGGAGGCCATGAAAGAGGAGTATGATTGAGGGCCTGCATCCCTGTAAGGGCTCCACTGAGGTGCCTCATCGCCTCCATTACTGCAGTCTGCTTGTTCTCTCTTTGATCTGGCCCAAACGGTGGTGAAAAGCAATAGATGCTGCTGTTTATTTGCTGCTTGGCTTTCTGCCCACTAACAAACAGCAGGGAAGAGGAAGAAGAGCAGCAGGTGACATCAGTGCTGACAAGCAAGCAAACTCACTGAAACAATGAGCAGTAAAGGTATGTTGTCCAAGGTCTTCCCAAAACCTGGAGCTGGGCAGGAGTATGAGTAGGTTTAGAAGTAAGTTTCCCAATGTATATGACATGTGTACTATCAGTGGCAGTTTACTGTTTAGAATGATCCTATGGAAAGGCTTTTCATCTGAGCTGGCTTGGTTTCTAGCTGTTCCTCCTATACCCCAGGTCTCTTGTGGAAGTGCAACTTCCCTCCTGCGCAGCAGCTTCTTTACTTGAGCTGCTCGTGCCCAGGCTGCCAGTGGAGTGTCTAAGCTTACGTCACTGTGAGACTTCAACCTGCCATAGCTCGCTGTGAACTCTGATGCTGTTTGGGAGCTTGTGGCTACCACGATGACCATGAACCTGACTCTAACCCACTCTGGTGGTCACATGCTGGATCTGTTTTTACCCTGGGGAAATTGCAACATGATCTGAGGAATATTAAGTCAAACAAGTCATTTCTGTAAGCTCTGCCATCTTCACAATCCATTCCTCCATTATGGGTATTTCTGTATTCTTCCATCTTTGTGTATATAATCGCCTCGCTGCAGTTACCATATATAAAACCAATTGTCCGTGAGCCTAATATCGCTTCTCTCTCATGGTCAGATCACTCTCTGGTTGGCTTAGAGTTTGCCAACAGGGAAGTAGGAACTATTTGATTGGTCTGTCCAAGACACCTGATGGATTTTGTTGGTTTTCAGAAGAGTGTTTGAGGAATTTCCTGAGGTTTTAGTGAACAGTTTGACTGAGGCCTAAGTCACCACTTGGAACAACCAGGTGGCCTGGATCAGATTGCTCATGAGTGGCCTCTCCCTGTCTGTTGATCCCTGGGGCCCCCTTAGTTACTGAGCAGAAGAAATGCCTAGAGTGAGCCTGTGTGGACACGTGTATGAGCCTGTGTTAAAGACTATCATGGCAGTAAGAGTGTAATTATTTTCTACACTTATTTCATCTGCCAAATGGGGCCCAACAGCCCTGTTTAGTCTGACCTGAACTTTCTGTGAAAAGGAAGGACCTGGTTAACATCCTTCTGTGAGGATTATGCTAGGCTCCTGATGGATAAAATCACTCAGATTCACTTTGAGCTCCACTTTGCCTGGGCAGGTCCTATTGAGGTGACCTTGCCCTGTTATATGGAAAGAGTTTGAGTTTGAGCCTTGAGGGAGGAAGTGGACAGCATTCTTAGAACTGTTAGTGCAGCCTCTAGGTCAAGGCCACCTAGAAGACAATATATGGTTTAATTAATTAATAAGATTTAAATGTATTACATTTAATTGGGTTGAAGCAATGGTGATTTCATCCTTGAGTCACGGCTGGTTCCTCCTGCCTTGAAAGAGATGGTAGTGTACCCCCTCCTCAAGAAGCCATCACTGGACCCAACAATACTAGACAACCAACTCATCTATAACCTTCCCTTTCTGGAGAAAGTGGTTGGGCTGAAGCTCTAGAGAATGCTGGAGGAAATGGATTATCTGGACCCTTTTCAATTGGGTTTCAGGCCAAGATATAGCACTGAGACAGCACCAATTGTGCTTCTGGATTATTTCTGATGGGATCAGGGTAGGATGAGGCAACTAGCCCTCCTTGGCCTCATGGCAGCTATCTATTATCATCAATAAACTGTATCCTTCTGGACTGATTTCAGGGTTAGGGAGTGGGACTACTGTTTTACAGTGGTTCTCCTTTCTCCAGGGCCAGTTCCAGGAGGTGTTGGGGGACATGGGGAACCAAGCCTTAAGTTTATGGTTTGCAGGTTTCCTCAGGGCTCAATACTTTCCCCTCTTCATGAGATTTCTGGAGGAAGTTATCCAGCAGCATGGTCAGTATCATCAATATGCCGATAATACCAGTTGTATCTCTCAGCTCCTGGTTGTCCAGGTGATGCTGTCAAAATGCCACTCTACTGCCTGGGACTTAAGATGTGGATGGGAAGGAAGAGGCTTAGACTCAACCCCAGCAAGACTGAGTAACTTGGGTTTATGGATCAGCTGTATCTGGAGACTTGCTGTCTTTAGTTTTTGATGAGATTGCATTTCCCCAGATAGAACTGAACAATTTAGAGAACCTCCTGCTCTCAAGAGCAAGCAGCAGCCATAGCCAGGAGGGATTTTGCACAGATCCATCTTGTCCACCAATTGAGCCCTTTTCTGGACCGGCAGACCCTGCCCACAGTCACTCATGCTTTAGTCACCTCTGACTTGGATTACTGCAATGTGCTGTATATGGGGCTGAAGTATCACATTTCCCCATAAATTACAGTATTAAATCTTTAGTGAAAAAGCAACATATTTGTTTGCCAGAGAGGGAAGTATGGCAATTACACGTTACATGAACAGTGATAGCCTAAATTTCATAAGAGTGAATGCTGCAGATAATTGCTGTGACATCACCTTCATACCAAATTGTCTAGTCCTCTCTTCATTAAGTAGAATTCTATAAATTAACAGTATTGGTTAAGATTAAGTCTTAAAACTATAGTTAATTGTTCAATTTAAATGAAGATCTTACATTCAGAATTACTAGGTTCTTCTTGCTTTGCAATGGGCAAACATAATGTTCTCTTCATAATGTTTACCATTTTTCAAGGTCTTTCCCTACCTGTCTTTTCTTGGTTTTTGTCATACGCAGTGTTAATATTAAGACCCTCTATCTGAAAGGCACATTCTCTGCCTCGAGAATGTCTCCTTTTCTCAGTTAGATGATAACTGTATATGCCTGTACCAATGAGTGAGAAAGAGATAATGGGCCTCTTCCCACTCTGAAAGGCACTTCTTTTGCAAGTCTCAAAGCTGACCCGAGGCATTAAAAATAAAGAGCTGAGCTGAGCTTTAGCCTAATTAAATCGTTATTTCAAATCTGCTTATTTTAAGTACTGTCTACGAAGCTCTTGCAGTGCATTTGAAAAAAGAAATGTGGAACAGAATTACAGGTATCTTAAATAGATAATCTGATGATAAACTAAAATGAAAACAAATCTATGACTGATTCTGTTCATTTATTGAATATATACATGATTGATCAGACAAAAACAATGTAAAATTACATATATATATATTTAAAAAGATAATAAATTATTGAAGCATTAGTAAAAGCTAATGTCATTGTCTGCTTTCAGATGCATGAATATGAAGTTTGAGATTTAAATATACAGAATATGCCACAAAATCAGACTAACCTG